CCGAGTCCGCCTTTGTGGATTATCAGCATGCTTGCATGTTACTTATTCTATAATATTGTATTGCTGTTGATGCTTGTGTTGCTTCTGACAGCCTTGAGTGTTCTGGAGAAAGAAATAATGTCACTTCATGTATATTGTATCTTCCCCCCCCCCTTCAGTGACAGCAGATTTACTGAAAAAAGTATTAAAAGACGACAAACTCTTGCATCCTCTTCTTTTTGTCATCACAGGTGGCGACAGGCAAGGTTGCAGGAAAGCTGAGCTCTACTCTCTCATGGGTGAAGAACACTGTATCGCACACCGTCAGTCAAATGGCCAGTCAGGTGGCAAGTCCATCTGCCTCATTACACACTACATCCTCCTCTACCACTCTGTCTACACCCGCCTTATCACCAGCCTCACCAACACAGCTGAGTCCAGACGACTTAGAATTACTCGCTAAACTTGAGGAACAGAACAGGTGAATGGAAAACTTTTTGGTCTTTGAAGTACAGTAATGAAACTAAAATTGGTTTATTGCAATTTCAGCATAGAGGCTGTTAAAGGGGGGGTTAGGTAAAACTTCATGGCACACTGTTTCCATTTCAAGGCCCCACAGTTTAAGAACTTGTGTTCTTGTGCTGTGTTTTTAAAAGTTCTTTTTTTTTGTTGAACTCTAAAAGGTGTTTTTTCTCTCCTGGTTCTAGAGGGGTGTTTATAGCTGCCTCTAATCCTAAGTATTTACACTGGAGCCATGTGACTTTCAGTACCCAATTTCATAGAGTCATAGAATTGCTTAGGTTGGAAAAGACCTTTAAGATCATTGAGTCCAACTGTATTTAAGATAGAGTATCTCAGGGGTGAAACTTTCATATAACCTTCTTGCCTTCTTAGATCAAAACTGTAATTTCTGTTAGCTTTTTGAAATGTTAAAGACTTCTGAATTCCATTTTCTCTATTTATTTTTTTCCACTTTTACCCAGTTGTTGCTTTCCACTGTATAACCTGCCATGTTTAGAGAGGGAGCAGTGTTCAGCCATCTTTATTTGCAAGAAACAGTAGATGCATCCTGCTGTTATGCTAATGGTGGCAGATGCAAAATGTCGTAATTTCATGAAAAGTAAATTCCTAATCAGTCCTTTCTCTTCATCCTGGCTTTTTTTTTTTTATATTAAGCAACCATTTTCTTGGCAGCCTTGCCATGAGTGTATATTTATCTGTACCGTCTACAGTTCAAGATGAAACTTTCAGTTGGATCAGTTGCTCTTGACTTGCACAGCGATTGCAAATTGGCAGTCTCACTAGGAAATAAAATTGGACCCTGCGATTTCTTAATGCAGAATTTCCAGAACCCATACTTACTTGCACTCTTGAGGCAGGACTTCTAAGTTGTGTGGCCTCTTGCAAAATTTGGTTATATTTGACAAGTACGTTTCAAGTGGTTCATGAGAGGTTGACTGTAAAGGGAGAACTTGAGCTCCAAATAGGTTTTAGACTTAACAAACAGCTGCAGGGCTTTGACACCTGCCAAAGATTGCTATCCCTTGTGCTCTAGTGAAGCGCAGAGTCTGATAGTTCAGCTCAAACTAGCTTCTGTTCCGGGCTCTGCTAGCACTTTGCACCGAGGCAGCTGAGGTACTTGGGTATTTTTATTCTGTTGATTTAGTTACGGGGGCAGTAACTTTCAGCAGAGAAGAGTAACTGGGAGGAGGACAGGCTAATGCCACTGTGTCACCTGGCATGGCTTCTCTCATGTTGGTGTTCTGCAGCCTAAGAGCAATACAACTTCCAGGGAATTCCCTGGATCTGTCTAGTTCTTGACCAAGAATGGAAGGCAGCTTCTAGAACCGCCTTGTCCTCTTTTCCTTGTGGTTTATGGGATTGCCTCTTCTTCAAATATGAACTATATGAAATTTTCATTTGCTACACCAAAAATTAATCAAAAGAAGGAAAAAAAAGAGAGTGCTTTTAAGAAAGCTAGTTTGCATTTAATCTGAGGCATTCAGCTCTGTTCATGACTAAGTGACTAACTTTTATTTGAAAAGCAGTAATATCTGTTCTTTGGACAGCTTATCTGTGTTGAGAGTGTAATGCCTTTACATCTAGAGTCATCTCATGAAGTCCCGCAGTTAGGCTACTTTGCCTCTTGAAGAATGTGAGCTTGGGCTTGTTAGCCTTTCTTTTTCAAGTCAGCTTTCTTCATTTACTAAATAAGCTAGCAAATCTTGTCTGGTTTCATTTAATTTTAGCCAGACCTGTTCGATCTCACAGTAGTCTTCTGTGTGAATTCTGATTAGAGGCTGTCCTATCAAGTGTACCTTTTCTCATGAGATACTGCACTTTAATTTGATGCTGTTATTATGGTGGCGGCACCGTAGTTTCAGAACAGTTTGAATCTGCATTTTAGCACAGTGGTGCTTTGTTGACAAGGAATTGTACTCTGAACACAAGGAACTATTGTTTCTGCTTGCTGTAAGAATTGCTGGGGATGGATATTTTTAAAGGTTTCCTTTTTGTGGTTGGCTTTTATGTCAATAAGGAGAATATGAATTTGTTAAACAGCTAGAAACAGAAAGAGCTCAAATTGTGTCAAGCTATGGCTTGTAGCATTCTGTAATCCAGTTATACTGGAAGTCCCCTCAGAATAATGAGGTAGCTCGGTCCAGAGTCCTGGTGGAGCTGTTTGGCATTAGTAAATCATTTATAAAGTTTTAGGTGAAAGAAAACAGTCACTAAATGCCACGGAACTCGCTCTTTACTGTAAAAAGAACTTCCCATTTTCAAATCTAAGGACAATGAGTTTTTCCAGGTAAGGTCAAATTATAGAAACGTAGTGTAACTTCGACAGAAAGCTGTGAAAACTGAAAGGGACTACTTAGAACCTTGTTTTTGTAATCGTAATGTTTATTCTGTGCTTGTTTTTCCCTCTGTGATTACTTTGAATTTGATCTTTAGGCACTGCCTCAGATTGAGAGGAGGAGTTCCAAACTGTAAATTTTTTGTTATGGATCAGTATAGGCCAGGTTTCCAAGCATTAAAAATGGATTTTTAAAACTTTTTTTTCCTCAAAACAAGATTTTCTGCATTCTTTTAATATGGACTAAAGTAAAATCAGTCTTGAAAAAGCTTTTTTTGTTGTTTTTTCCCCCCAAAGGCACTACTATTTAACCCTTTTCCAAACAAAATACTACTGCAGAGACTGTACTACTTGTCTTCATGAATTAAATTACTTTTTTCCCTAACTTCCATAAACACCAAGTAGGTGAAAGCTAGGAACAGGGAAAGCTGGTATAAATATCTCTATTGTAGCAGAGAGCTTAAAAATGGTAGGTATGCTGAGATTTGTGTACAATCTCAGGTGCAGTGTAACTCGGGTTATAATTTATTAAATATCTAAAACCTAACCTGACCGTGCTGAAATGCTGGGGTGGGGGTATTGGCTTTTACGCAGGTGCGTTGAGAAATTATTCTACCAGATCACTTGGATTTACAGACGTTGGAATTCTCGGAAGTTAAAGCACAAACAAAACTCTTGATACAGCAAAACACTTTTTCAAGCTAGTCTGAATTCTCGCTCTTAGCTAATACGTGGTCTAAAAAATTTTCCCCTGCTTGTGGAGCTCAATATTAGTTGAGGAGAAACAAAGGACGTCTTTTTGACCCGAATCACCAGCTCCTTGCAGAATTGATGGCCGTGGCAGGGAAGTCTCTTCAGCAATTTGCCCAGCGCTTGGCACATCTTTATGTATACCTTGCTCCCTGATAAGCCCAGAAGTTCTCGCAGCCGAACTCCAGGCTTTAATTACACATTCATTAGCTGTACTAACCTCTGTTGTTGCCTCTTCCGCATTCTTTAGGTCATGCATTTATAAAACACCGTCTTGGTTTGTGGGCAGTTGTCAGCAAATGTCAGGTGTTTTAAAATTGCTCCAGATTTTAATTATTCTGTCTGTCTACACTGTCAGTTTAAAAAAAAGTGTAATTGGGTAGACTTTTAGGAGGCTAATTTTCTGTCTTTAAAATTACTGTCTCTCTTGCAGTACTTTGACATTTGACGCTGTCATTGAGGATATTTAACTTCCTTGTGTTTTCTTTGTCAGTCTGATGCACAACAGCTATGGGTTTTTTTTGTCACTAGTAAAATCAAAGCCCTCTTGTTGGTACTTACGCCTCAAAACAAAACTTGTGCATCTTTCCTGTAGGGCTATTAATCTCCAGTTGATGAATGTGTAAAAGAGCATTGGACTTGCAGTGCTTCTGTGCTTTAATTTGATATCGTTATGTATTAAGATCTAGGTCGTGAGACCACAAAATGCTTGTATTAAAATCTCACTTCTCTTAGTGTTGTTGATGCACGATGTGACATTTTTATCCGTTTCTTAAAAGGCTGCAATGTGAGCTGTTCTTCTGTCTGCAGAGTTACTTGAGATCTCAAGAAGAAACAGTAGCATCGACCGGTTCTTCTTTTCAAATTTAGTGCAAATGGATATTGGAAAAACTGTTCCACTGAACCTTTGGGTACATTCTTTGTAAAGAGGTTGGAAGAATTGACTTCTAAACAAACAATTAATAGTGTGCTCCTGTGATTAGAAGCACTTGAATTTGGTTTTTGTGTGCTTTCTTTGCAGGCTCTTGGAAACAGACAGCAAATCCTTGCGATCAGTAAATGGGTCAAGAAGAAATAGTGGATCTTCTCTTGTATCTAGTTCATCAGCTTCTAGCAATCTCAGCCATCTTGAAGAAGACTCGTGGATCCTGTGGGGGAGGATTGTAAATGAATGGGAAGATGTACGGAAAAAGAAAGAAAAGCAAGTTAAGGTAGTAGTTAGACACTGTTACACTATTTTTTTTAGGATGTATTTGTAATGTGATGTAAGTGATACTGTTTTATCTTCCTGTTGGTCTTCTTTTTTTACATAAATATGTAATAGAAGCTTCCGGTTGAATCTACTTCCATCCCTAAGCTTTGGTGCTTCCTGTGTAACTGTAACCAGACTTAGGTAACAGTTTTGCCCAGCAAATGTCTCTGAAAACTGGATGCATTTCCTATGTCTTGAATACTAAAGCTTTCAGTCTACCTCTAATGAGAGATTCCCATGAATACAGGGAAGATTTGCTTCATGTTTCCAAAATGGAATTGCTGAAAACCCACTTAATGGCATCTGATAGCGAGTTGTGGTGATTATTTTCCCACTGAGGAGCTGTCTTTTTAAAGCATTCTTATTAGAAAAGCTGGTAATTCTACTGTATGAGGCTTTAGTGAGTGTTTAGTCTTTTGTGCATGCCGAGTGTGTTGACCCCAGGGATGACCTTAAGCAGAAGAACACATAGCTTCTAAATTCTGAGTGGATTGGACGAACTTTGACTGGTGTGTGTCCAGTCTGGGTTCCTTGTGGCCATGTACAGAAGTGGAATTCAATTACACTTTAAATTCAAACTAAAAAGCATCTAGGGCACTTGAACATATCCGTGTTTCGGCGGCAGCAAGTACAGCAGCGTGGGATTTTTTGTTCGTAGGCAAGTCTGCTCTGCTTTGGCTCTTTATTTGCTCTAGTCTGTGGTTTTATGTGCAGAATACAAATTTCAAGGTCTTTTGAGCAGTTTGAAATGTGCGTGTATGAATAGGTTGTGGGAAGGCAGAACAATGGGCTGAAGTAAAGTGTCTTTTATGTGAAGCAGTTGTGAAGAGAGAACATGACTTGAGAGAGGAAACAAGGGAAGAAAATGAATTCAAGACTTTCTGCTTGCATAGGGAAAACAGTTTCTGGAAAGGTGTTCCCAAAAGGCCATGAAAAGGCGGCCACGTGAACCTGGCAAGAGAAAGGAGAAGTGAGATGGTAATAAGTAGATCTGGATCTGGTTGGATAGAATTCACTTGAACATATTAAAGTGTTGCAAGTATTGCTTGTTCTTACAGCTGGCCAGGCATAATCTGGGGAGTATTTGACTAACTTTCAGTAAATATTTAATTATATTGCTAGTGAGTTTTCCTTTCTTGTTTAAATAATTCTCAATTTTTTTTGTGTGTGTTTTTGTTTGTTGGAAGTCAGCCTAAACTGTCATTCTGCATTTACGATGGAATGCCAGAACATCCATAGCTGTTTCCTGATTGTGCCAGGAGGTGCGCCGTTAGCAGCCTAGGTAGCTTGTTGTCTTGGCTGCAAAAGCTGGTCTTAAGCTATTAGGTATCTGGTAAGCTTTTTAAGTTTTAGACATAGGTGCATATACCTTCCTGCATAGGTGCTGTGTTCTACCCTTGTGTCTCTTGATCCGCTTCAGAACTCGCTTCCCGTTTGTGGAGGGATTCTGAAGGATGGCTTAAGTCCTGCTTTTCAGCGCGCATAACGCTGTGTAGAGTAGCATCATCTTAGTGCTGCTTGGTAGGTGCGTTTTCCTGCTGTTCCTCTAGGAATGCTGGAGGGATTAACCCTGTTATTCTGTCAAGCAAGTGCATGGTAACTTAAAGCAAGAAACCGCTTGCTACTGCTTCGTTATGAGTAGCCCGCGAGGCTTTAGGTGACTGATCTACAATCTGATAGCACGTTGTTGACAAATGAAGGCTGATGTGTTAGGGTTGTTGTCGTGGAGTTGGAAATCTTTTAGGAAATAACACAGGGTGTCGTAGTTGTGTTGTAGACGGGACAGACAGTCGGAGTGGCGTTACTAGGGTGGTTCTGAAGAAGGCTGGAGATCTTAGGAGTGTTAGAAAATTGAGGTCAGCAATGCAAACCTTCTGCAGTAGAATTCAACGTTAACAAAAACAAAACTTGAAAGCAAGAGTCCCTTTAAAAGTTATCACTGTTGCATTAATCTATCTTAATGCTTGGAGAAGTAGGAGAAATATCTGGAATAGACAGGAAAAAAGAGGAAGCTTTGAGGACTAGGAGATTACTCTGGCTTCAGAATAACTACTAGTGAAAGAAGCTATCCTTTAGGAGATGGAAGATGGAATACTTGCTAACAGTTCTTAAGGTACAAAAGATTATCAAAGGAACCCTCTTGTCTTGAAGAGACAATCTTCTAGGTCAGAGTGATTTTAGTTGCAGAAAGTATCACTAAGTCAGTCTGTAAACTTCCTGAATCGTGCTTTTTTTTCTCTGTTTTCAGATCAAGCAATAGGGCTGCTTTCTGCTTGTGCGTTCTGAAAAGACGAGCATCAGGTTTTTAGATCTGTTGATCTGGGAAGGTTTGAATTGTATAATACCTAGCTGATTTTTTTTCAGGGAAGATAAAGTAAATTTAGTTAATTCAGTAGATGTAAACTTAATGTTTTCTTGGTCCAATGTCTGAAACTACATTTAAATACTTTCTTAAAAGAGAACTTGGAAGTACTGGCACACCAGAGAAATTAGACACAACTTGCCACGTTTGTCAAATTGCTTCTGACAGTAGTACCGTGCAATTCTTTCTTTGTTGTTCCACTTTTTATCATTTACCTGTCTTGGAAATAATTTTTAATTGGCAATTTCTCATCTCTCTATCACTACAAATATAATTAAGGGTATTCTCTTCAGTCATCCTTTGTGAAATACAAAAATAACTGTATTAAATTTTGGCTAATGGGAGTTCTTGTTTAAAATTACTTGAATACTCAGTTTTTCAAGTAGCTTACTATGAATAGGGGACTACCTTCATTAGCTATTCTGCCACTAAAAATGATTGAGAGTCTCCTTACTTTCGTTAGCTAACAATCTGTCACACTAAAATTGAGGTTTACACATTCTAACCTGTATGATTGGTTTGTGACGTGATGTAAACATTTTCTGAAGTTGTGAAGAACTTCAGCAAATTAAGTGTTTTGTTCTTCAGGCTTAACGCTTATATTTTCAGGAAATACAAATGAATTTGTGTGTCTCTCTTTTGTGCTTTAGGAGCTTGTTCGAAAAGGGATACCTCATCATTTCAGAGCAATTGTTTGGCAACTTTTATGCAGTGCTCAAAGCATGCCGATTAAGGATCAGTATTCAGAGCTTTTGAAAATGACATCTCCTTGTGAGAAATTAATAAGAAGGGACATTGCTAGAACATACCCTGAACACGATTTTTTTAAAGAAAAAGACAGCCTTGGACAGGAGGTCTTGTTCAACGTAATGAAGGTAAGTCAGTGTTTCAGCCCTTGAAAATACATTAGCAAGAACGTGCACAAAAGTTTGGAAAATAATTTGCACTTAAGTGAACTTGCATCAGTTTCATCTGTTTAAGTTTTTTAAACTTACTCTACTTGACACTGGAATGGTTAAACAAATTACATTCCAGTTTCAAAGATAACTTTCAAATATGGTATTCCTGTACTTAATGGTCTTAGTAAGTTTTTTAAATCACTTACAAAGTTTGCATTGAAACAGTCACATGCTAACTGCTGATAGTATAATGGAATAAAGTGTGCCGTGAAGTAAAGTAAACAACGTTGACCAAGACAGGAACGTTGTAAATCTGAACTAGCATTCAGTTTTCAAGTGTTTCTGAACCCGCAAGTGGTGGCAGCGAATGACAGGCGCAAGCTAACGGGCAGTTGTTACAGTGCCCAAGCACAAAATGGGAATGGCGCCATAAAATTAGGTTTGCATTATTTTGCCTTCATTGTACTACAGCTTAAATGTTGAAAGACACTTTCCCATGAACGTAGTTTCAACAGAGAAGTTGGCAGGTTTCCAAGTCATAGTAACTTCCATAACTCTAAAATGAAGATGCAACATGCACGGGGATCACCGTGTTTCCTCCACCTGTATATAAAACCGCAGCGTGTAATTTTTCTGAAAAGAATTATTGTTTCTCTGTCAGGACTGTCTCCCATAAAAGTAGTAGCCGCCTGCAGTTTGTATGCCAGCTGTCTCTGTTACCTTCTGGCAGATTCCTGTAGCTGAACACTGCGTGGTTTTTTGGGTGGGTTTTTTTTTTTTTTTTTTTAGGTATGCCTTAGTTTTAGCTTTGTAGGTTATCAGAGAGCAGAGTTCGTAGCCCTTTGTCACAGCAGGTAGCAACTAGAATATCTGACTAAAACTTCTGAATAGAATGTCTGTCCTTGCTGGATTTGGGAGAGGAAGAGTAAGTTATTAGCACAATAGCAGCATGAACGATGATTACTTTTTATTAATAATGAGGTTTTAATTGTTGAGAGTCTGAAAACTTTATTTCCTAGGCTTATTCTTTGGTGGATCGTGAGGTTGGATACTGTCAAGGAAGCGCTTTTATAGTTGGATTGCTGCTTATGCAGGTAAACATGGTATTAAAAATACATGAACCTTTAAAATCCATGCTAAAATCTGTAATATATCATGATGGCTTTATCTCGGAGTGGGGGAATACCTTTATTTCTCGGAGCTAAGGTAGGATTGCAGGCTGAATGTTTCAACTATTAATGAACTTCTCATTTCAATTCTGTTATACCGAATCCCCTCAGAGTTCGAATGGAACTTCACAGTTAATTTGATAGTCTTAAAGCTGCCTTTGTATTGCTGCCTTTTGTTTTATGACAAAGTAGGGTATGTTGTAAGAAATTTGCAGACCTCCATTTCAGTTTAGGAATCACTTCATAAAATTCAATATGTACAAAAGTTCATGACAGTAATTGGTTATAAATCCCTTAAAAAACAACCAACAACCCAAAACCAAAAAAACCCCAACCCTAAACCCTTCCAGGCACTTACTCTGATATATCCTTACCTTTGTCCAGAGTTTTTACTGTGCTTTTTTTATTTTTAATTATAGATGCCAGAAGAAGAGGCATTTTGTGTGTTTGTTAAATTAATGCAAGATTACAGACTACGAGAACTCTTTAAACCAAGCATGGCTGAACTGGGCCTTTGTATGTACCAGTTTGAATGCATGATACAGGTACATACAAAATCTATCGAACTTTCTCTTCAGTAACTATTAATAAGGAACTCGGGAATTGCAGTTCGAGAGCAGGCATGTCTGTTGGCTGACAGGCTGTTCTCTTGACAGCAGCTAGTTTCAGAACTTCAGAAGTAAATGCATGTGGCTGTGGTCTACTTTTTTAACCTTCGGCAGGCAGTGACGGGCTTTAACCACTGAAGCATGAGGATTCGTATTGCTACCGTTTAAACATATGTACGTCTAATTCTGTTTGGATTGAAGATTCTGAAAGTCAATTTTAGTCAAAAAGCTATTTTAAAAAATGGAAACTGGGAGATACCCTTGTACGTAGAGTTAAAATTTTGTTCAGATTTGGGACACAGAAAACTGCTTCTTTCTGGTCAGGCTGATGGAGACAAACGGGTTTGTGTTTCGTGATCCAGTTCCTAACATGATGAGTGGGGTGGGATGTTAGGCAGCGAATATGACACAGGTCTCTGGCCAGACCCTAGATCTTTCCAGCTCTGTTTTGTAGCCCACTCTAGATGTGACTTAGGGATTTACAAGCTTGTGACTTCCTGTTAGGATCAGGAAGTGGTTTTGTAATCTGTGCTGTGCAGGGTAGAAGTGTTGTAGGGCTTTCTATGCTGGGACTTCTGTTGCATGGTTCTTAATAATGATGAGTATCTTTTCTAGTTCTGTCTTACGAAGCTGCTGTATGCACTAAACGTCAATTATTTTCTTCTTTTATTCAAAATTTGTCAAAAACACAGACACACTAAAACTACCAGCAGAAGCTTAACGGGTTTTGTTTTTTTTTTTTCTTCCTCTGCTTTTCTAGGAGCATCTTCCAGAGCTTTATGTGCACTTTCAGTCTCAGAGTTTCCACACGTCTATGTATGCGTCATCGTGGTTTTTAACTATATTCCTTACAACTTTTCCACTACCAATTGCAACAAGAATATTTGATATCTTTATGTCTGAGGTAACTACTCAATACTCATGTTCCATTTCAAGAGCAGCTGTTAAAAGCAGTTATTTAGGTAGTGGTATAAATCCCATTATGATGGGCAGATCTCAAATACTCTTGCTTTTTAGCCCTTATGCATATCAGATTATTTTGTAGGGGAAGATGTCTGTGTATGTAGTTTGTCAAGGAAGAGCAACTAAATCTTTAAATGTAGGTACTGTATGCAACTTTGTACTCTAAGCCTGTTGAAGAGTTACCAAATCCGTCGGTTCTGGATGCAATGCAATAGCGTTGCATACAACAGGGACACCAGTTTCTCAGTATTATAGTAAGTTTGGGGTGGAAAGGAAGGCTGCTTTCAGGCCAAAGTTAAAACCCCATGGGGATATGCAGGCCAAGAAGAGGGAGTGTTGGAATCTTCTACTGTCCAGGTGATCAACAGTAGTCAAAGAAATTTATGGAATTACTCAGTGTCACGAAGACGCCTAAGTCATGTTTAGGATTAGAGCTTTGCGTGGTTGTAACCGGTAGCAAACCAAAGCTTGTGGTCCGTTTATGCTCTTTCTATGCAGTCATCTTCTAGAAAATAGTAAGTCAAAGGTGAATCCTTCTGGCTTACACTCAAGAATGTCCAAGACAGTACATACGAGTGAGACGTTCCCTTGTACCTGTTTCAATAGTTCAACTGCATTGTACCATGTCTGAAATTAAAATGGCTCTTTTGAGAAGTACCTGGGGGGTTTGTACTAGATGTATTTAAAACTTTTGATAAAGCTGACCTAGAGAACACCCGTCACTCAAGAGTTTTCACCTCAGCACTAGCCTCCTGGGGGCGGGGCGGGGTGTCTAGGATCGGGGTGGGGTCTGGCATCAGGACAAATAGCCGGAGTACTTGTCCTTGGGACAAAATAAGACACCCAGAACCAATTTGTTGAGAGATTTTTCAGTAGCCCTTTTGCTTATTTGAGAAACCAGGCGAGATTTCCAACCTTAGTAAATAGTAGAATCGTTCTGTACCGTTGACAATGCCATGAATAATTGTTGGATATTTCTTAACTTCTGTTTTCAGGGTTTAGAGATAGTGTTTCGAGTAGGTTTAGCAGTACTTCAGATGAACCAGGCAGAATTACTGCAACTTGACATGGAAGGAATGTTACAGGTAAATTAAGGTTATAATAATTGTAAGAGATGTCTGAAATGTGTAATGTGTGTGTGTGTGTGTATTTCCTTGCAGCTATTAATTATATGTAATCTTGTGCTCTGATTGCTTTTAGCACTTTCAAAAGGTCATTCCACATCAGTTTGACAGTGGTCCAGACAAATTAATCCAAGCATCTTACCAAGTCAAATACAATGCAAAAAAGATGAAAAAGTAGGTATAACATTTTGAGAAAATAGATTATACTGTTGCTAAGAGCTACTGTTTGTTTATCTTTAAAACTACTTATTCAGTATTTCATTCTGAATTTTCCATCTTTATTTTTTTTGGTGTTTTGTACTATAAACAGTTAGAACTGAAGTTCTGTCTGCAAGAAAATTCTTCTAAAGCAGTACTTGCCTTTTTGAATAAAATAAAAGTATATCTCATTTATAGAAATAACTTAACCTTTTGAAGACGGCTGCAAGTTATGGGGAATCACAGCACTTCTGTAAACATGATCTGAATAGAAAAAGCGGGGGGTGGTGTGTGTGGTTTTTTGGGAGGGGGGGATTGTTTAGTTTTTTGAGGGTGAAGTAGGGAAAAGAGGTTAAACTTCATGATCTGGCCTAAATTCTTAAGATTTTAGTTCTCAGGAACTGGAAAAGTATTCACAGCGCTAAAGAGTGCATGTATGGTCAAGATTAGTGCTTTTTAAATATAAATTGATGAAACTTTTAACACTGATAATTGTAAAATAACTTTCATTTGGGGTTTGAAATCCTGAGCACCATGCTACTATTTTTTTTTTTTTTTTTTTTTTTTTTTTTTAAGGTTAGTTGCATGTCTTCTCTTTTCTGCCTTTGGTAAATCATGTTTCGATAAGCCAAGCTGCCCATATTGTGCTTTTCCAGGGTTAGCTTTTGCGATTCTCCAGTTGGTTGTAATATATTGTACATTCACTGTTCTTGCACTGCAGATCGTGCTAGGGTCTTTCAAGTCGGATTTGCCAATCCTTCTGCCAGCAGCCTATGATCAGTGCTGTAGAGTGAGCAGTCTTCTCTAAAGCAGAAGTAGTAACAAAGCTTTCAGGGAAAAATTCTCTGAAAGCCCGTAGAAGTGTATGTAGTTTAAAATCGTACCATTCTGAGGCTAAACTTCCTCGGTTGCCTTCTGTAGAGGCATTGTTTATCTCGGCTTGTTTTTCCTTGCTGCCACTTTTTTCAGTTGGGACAATGTTGTGGTTTGCTGGAGAGGGGCCAAAATTGTTTTATATGTTTAAGATATTTGTCTCGAATCTCTTTGCAGCTTTCTGTTTTCCAGGCTTCCCAAGCTCTTTTTTTCTTTTGGCTGAATCTATTGAATTGATTATTGTATAATTACATTGAGTGGTTATTACAGAGCAGCTCCGTATCATTGCCACTGTAAATGTATACATGCAAGCACCTGCACTTCAGAGTGCTGGTTCAGAGTCTGTTCATATCTACAGAAGTCTTTGTGTTTCAATTTAGTTTTAATGGCAGTCTAAATATTTCCAGGAGTGCATTCTAAGTGGCCACTTAAACAGAGGAAATATCAATAATCTGTATCTGTTCTACTGTTGTTTGTTAGGTATTACACCAACCAGTAAGTTATCTGCAATTTTTCTAATCATAATTTACTATTTCTAATTTTTAGGTTAGAAAAGGAATACACTACAATAAAGACAAAAGAAATGGAAGAACAAGTTGAAATTAAAGTAAGAGAGTCTCAATGAATTTATTTATGGATCCAGTTTAATGTGGGGTTACATATTTGATCTGTATACATAGCAGGACATGTAATTTAGGTCCTCAAATTCTTTTCTTTCAGCATTTGTATTTGGGATGTCTGGTCATAAAAGACACTTACAGTGAAATTATTTAGACTGCTGGTGGACATTTAAAGAAAAAAATCTTTGCTGGAGACCTGCTGTACTTAGTTTTCATTATTTTCTGCTGCCTAAAGCTTGATTACAGGTGGCCTCATTTATCAGAGGTTCCGAATATGCTGATTTAGATGTAGGTATCCTACACAGGAGGTTTGTAAAACACACGTTAAGATAGAGTTTATCAGAATGCACTTGAGTGGCTTATCATCAATTTTGAGATCTTGATTTTTCTTATGCATTGGGCCCAAGATTGAGTGTCTTCTGTCTGCAGTCACTTTTTCTTTTGGAGCTTCTGCAATTGATACATAATGTGGAAAAAACCCACCCTGCGAGTGCAGTTCGTTTCCCTCTTACTAACTGACCTACTTCCTGTATTTACTTAATCACTGCACCTTTTTGATTTTTGTGACATAAATAGGCTTTTGCTGCTTTTTTTTCCCTTTTCACACTTTTTTCACAGCAGTGGTGTTTGATCTGAATTTCCTTCCTCGCATCATGTTTTTGGCCAGTCCCATGAGAAAAGGCAGTGGGAGAAATGACGGACAAGTGTAGTATGCAAAGCTTAGTAGAGGGAGCGAGTTACAGCCTTCCTCTCCCTGTCCACTGCCAGTCACTTTGCCTTTCAGTGTTGGTTTCTAAGGCATCGGTTCTTCAGAAAAATTCAGTGACATGCACCTGGGGGAGCACAGGGGTGTTCCAAGCAGGCTGTTATTGCTGTAACAGGCAGCGAGGCAGGTAGCAGCATTAGGACCTGCTGTAATGGTGCCTCGAATCAGAAAGTTTGCAGGAGTCAAATGACAGCTCTCTGCAGAATAGGACAGAATAAAATAATTTGAAAGACAACTGTGACTTTAGATTCTAGTATTTTAACTTATTTCAAATCCTTTCCTGCTCCCCCCCGCCGCAAAAAGACCCCAAAAAAACCAAACAAAAAACCCCCAACCCAGCCAAACCCAACAACCCAAAGCAATCTGTTTCTGGGCCCTGCTTTGGGATCTTCATAAACCATTTCTGACTTACTCTCTTCTGCTGAGCAGCTCTGCTGGTTTAGGGAGGTGGAAAAACAAGCGCATTGAGTCTGCCTCTTAGCCTGGCAGAATAAAGCATTGCTGGACTGATATCGGTGGCTCTGTTCCTAGGGATGCACATCTCTTCTAGTGGAATGCGGACTGCTAGAATTTCTGGGAAATGCACTGGTAAACTATGCAATTCAGTACAATTATTTCTCACTTCTGGGTCATCTGAGGTAAATAATTCCCAGTATAACTTTATAATTTATATTTTTTATATATATA